AAATTTTAATTTTGACAACATACGTAAAAATCTCGAAAATTCGCAAATTATTTTAAGCTAGAAATTCATAAAAAAATTTTATTTTAAATCTAAGATTTGAAAATTTTTAATAATCTATAATATATCCTAGACAGATAAACTGTTTTCGCTCAGAATCGTTTTTCGTATACAATGATATAATATCATTGGATTCAAATTTAATTACATACATTACAGTAACCCACTTATTGTAACCTACTGTACTGAAGAGCGACATCCACTTTCCCGCTTTTTTGTTTTGACAATACATGACGTTTTGACTACCACTAATTTTGTGCTGAATGTTTGTTTATAAAATGTCACATGCCTTGCTTGTCCTTATCATCAATCATTTTTTTCTAATTAATATATTTTGGAAATGAAATTAAGCATCATGTCATAGAGCCAAAATTGTACTATAATTATTATAAATCATGATAAATTCATAATATTTATTTGTCGTGTTTTGTTTATTTGAACTAAAATATTTGTTTTATAAATCAAAGTGGAATAATATAGCCATTATTTATAAGACACACGACTACACGAGCATTCATATATAAGTAAATAGGTACAAAATATTTTAAAAATCCTAATTTATTCATTTCCATTAGGTAGGTACTTAAGTATATTGTGGTAATACAGTAATAAATTGAAGATTAAAGGTTTAGGAATGTTTTTGCAAGAAGATAGTGTACTATAATATGATGACGTTAAGACCTAAACCGATTCTACCGAGTCATCACAAATGATCCTTTTATGCACTCGCACGTGTCGTCGCCATACCTCATTCTCTTTTACCATCGCACGTGTGTGCATGTATATATGTTACCGGCAGTGTTGAATCGGGTATTATATAGAAATCCTAGGTATTCTATAGAATGCCAAAAATGAGCAGTAAAAGTATAAAATACATACAATAACTAGGTATTCTATAGATTACCTAACCTCAAGCAGGAAAAGTATACAATCAATATAAAACTTCACCTAACCTTTGAAATCAATGATTAATGCTTATCTTGACGACTATCTTATCGCATATATAGGTACACACGACGTGTGCGATGCATTATCGTCATTATTAAGTAATACTATTATTATGTTGTTCGGGTATACGGGAAAATTCAAAATACGTCTTTAAAATATAATTTTTCTCACTCTTAGAGTGTTTGTCGTGTAGAGAAACCTATATTATAAAAATGTCTGAACGTTTCTATACCGAATTAAGTAAATGTCGGAAAAATTCAAAAAATACAGTTTATTTATCGAATGAAAAATATCAACAAATATTAGACGAGTTACTGCTGCTTAAAGATGGTAAAAAGAAAAAGAAAACATCACGTCGTGATTACTGGATGCTTCAAAGGTATTTAATTTATTTCATACTTTTATTTATACTTTTCTATATTTTTAAAATATTAATATTAATTAGGTACAAAATATGAAAAGTAAATAATTTACTCGTTGTAAAAATTTGACTTGTTGAAATAAACGGGTATTCAATTTGTTGAAATAATATAACATAATTTTATTTAAGGGGTAATTGTAATTATGAGTTGATAAATATAATTAACTTTTTTTCAATTGTAGTCCCTTAATTATATTTTGTGCCCACGCATTTTAATTAACAATAAAATCAATTTAAATTTCAATTCTGGAAAGATATTTTCTAATGTATAATTTTCAGTTAAAATATTTTTCTAATAATATTAGGTATATGTAATTTTGGGTTTTTCTAGATACAACATTCTGGTTATACAACAAATAAAAAAATTAATTTTTCCTGTAATAAATGCTGATGGCAAAATATTATTTTATGTTAATGAAGAGGAATTTTATGAAATTCTAAAAACTACACATGAATCAATTGGTCATGGTGGTCGTGATAGGATGATTTCTGAACTTTCAAGAAAATATAAAAATATTACTCGGTGTGATGTAGAGGTTTTTTTACAGTTATGTGAACCATGTCAACTGAAACAAAAAGGCGTTAGAAAAGTAGTAGTGGTTAAGCCTATTATTTAACCAGAATTAAATTCTCGATTCAGGTTGACCTCATTGATTTTCAGTCACACCCAGATGGAAAATATAAATTTATATTAGTATACCAATACCACCTTACCAAATTTATAATTCTTAAGCCACTTGAATATAAACGAGCAGAGGAAGTAGCATTCAACCTCATAGATATTTTTACGCTAATAGGAGCTCTATCAATCCTACAATCTGATAACGGACGTGAATTCTCAAATAACATAGTTTCTAACTTAAAAGACATGTGGCCTGAACTTAAAATTGTTCACGGTAAGCCAAGGCACAGCCAAAGTCAGGGGGGTGTTGAAAGAGCGAATCAAGACGTCGAGAATATGCTTACAACATGGATGCAAACAGAAAAAAATTCTCATTGGAGTCAAGGATTAAGATTCATTCAATTAATGAAAAATAGGGCATTACATTCTGGGATTAAGATGTCACCATATGAGGCATTATTTGGTTGTAAAGTCAAGGTTGGGCTTAGTACATCAAATTTACCGAAAGAAGTAGTCAACAATTTAGAAAACGTAGAACAATTACTAGAAATATTTGAAAAAAAATGAACTTAAATATGACGATCCAATACTTCCCGATAATAGCAATCATTATGAAAATGTCCAAGAAAATTCAATTCAAGATACAATTCCTACAATTTAATCAAATAACGTGAATGCCATGGTTAATCGAAGAAAGGCTAAAGAAAATCTTGAAAATCAGGCAGTTAAAATGAAAACATGGTCAGATAAAAAACTTAAACCGGCTGAAGTAGGTGCTACAGTTAGAGTTCCAGTTCCCGATGTGGACAAAGGTCGCGGAGATGCTCGAAATATTTTAGCTGTTGTTATAGATGTAAACATAAAATAATACATATTATAATATAGTAATTCAACCATTTATATTTTATTATTTTAAGATCTTAAAAATATTTTTGCAGGTAACAATTGATGGGTATTATAGATTAGGGACTAAGGAAGGGCTTTTAAAATCTTTATATTCAAGGTCTCAATTTTCAATATGTCAAAAAAATGTAATAATAATTGACCAAGTTCCAAGAGAAAATACATTTGCTTAACGCACAATTGCAACTCAACAACCTACAGGAACTGGACAAGGTTTTATAAAATGCACATGCAAGACAAAGTGTCAATCCAAAAAATGTTTGTGCGTAAAGAATAATATTGTATGCAGTTCGAAATGCCATTCATCATCTGTAGGTATGCTGTAATAAATGAATAATAACCAATAAATAATAATAAACATATTTAACATGGAACGCTAATGGGCTTGTACAACGAAAACAAGAACTTGAACATCTTATGAATAACGAAAAAATTGATATAGCTTTAATTTCAGAAACTCACTTCACAACGTGGACCACTCTAAAATTACATGGCTATCGAATATATACAACAGAACATCCGAGAAATCGTGCTCATGAAGGAACTGCAGTAATAATAAAAGAAACAATTAAACATTATGAACTTGATAAACATCCTCAAGAATATTTACAGGCAACTAGTGTCCATATCAATGACGGCAACAATGATCTAACTATCTCTGCAATTTATTGTCCACCAAGACATAAAGTAGATGACAAAAAATTCATTGAATTCTTCCAGACACTCGGTAGCAGATT